CTTTACTTTGTGTAGTTGTTGGTTGTATTGGGAGACTTTGTTTGATTTTGATGAGTAGCAACTAAGAGTTTGTTGAAGTGGGTCGTGCTTATGGTAGTAATGGTTTGGTATCGTGTGGAAAGTTTGAAGAAGATCTTTGTATTTTTTTTGTAATTTTGTCAAATGGGCCTTTTGTATATACTTTTTTTTAATTATTTTTTTTTACAAGATGGGCTTGTAATATTGTAAGAAGGTTTGAACATGGACCTTTGGAAAGAGTTATGAAATGTATTTAGATTGAATAATTAAACTTGAATGGAAATTATGCATAGAACTTGAAAATTTGGAAATTAAAATTTGAGATGAACTCTTGTCATAAATCTCGATCTTGAATGAAAATCTTGAAAGGCACAAAACATGAGTTGAAATTGAAACTGAAATTGAACTTGAATCAGAAACTTGAAATACTTGAATTTGATACTTGAATTGAATTGAAATGGAAATGAGATTTGAATTGAATCAAAACAGAATTGAAGATTGAATTGGATATAATTAAAAAATGACTGGAACTTTGAATGTGAATTGAAGTTTACAGCTGAAAAGAAACTGATTCTTGAACTGGCAACTTGAAAGGTATTGAATTTGAAATGAGAACTTAATAAATTGAAATTTTGAACTTGAGTGGCTTTGAATATGGATTAAAACTTGAATTGGATTGAAACTGGATGGAATTGAAAAAAATTGGAAAGAAAATTGAATATAAATTGCAAAGGTTTTGGAAATTTGTCATTGGATGGAATCTTGAATGGTTTCGAATTGAATGGGAAGCTTGAATTCTCCTATCAAGGCTTACGAATGTCTTGAAATGTTGACCAAATATCTTGACTTTTGATGGCTCAGTAACTTGATTTCATCAGATCACTTGAATCTTTGCACAAAACCCTAATCCTGATCACTTGATGATTTTCAGACATAAACCACTTGAATCTGATACTTCCTTGCCTTTACGATAATTCATAAGAAAGACGACTTGTGATATGAACTCTGTTGCCACTACACTAAAACCCTAATTGAAATTCACTTAGCCCTGATGATTATCCACCTTGAAACAAACTACCTTTGCCACAGCCCAGTAACTTGATACTAAAGCAAAACAACCGTTTGACCAAGATTGGGTCAAACTCCCCTCGACTTTCAAATCACACTGTGCATACACTTGGCCTGAAACAGTACTGCAAATAAATTGAACCCACTAGCCTCAAATGAATCTCAATTAAATGACAGTTTCTCATCTTAAACACGAAGGCTGAGAAACTCTAATCTTTTCCTTGAGTGCACACTGATGAAACAATGGCTTACGGAGAACCAAATGCTTGATTCAGAATCTTTGCCATAACCTAATAACTTGACTTGATAACTTTTCCTGATCCTTGATTCAATCTTGTAAGACCTGAGCTTAGGCGACAAGAAAATGAAAGCAAAAAGACATGTATTTCGTAGGCATAATGGTTAGATGACCTGAATGATGGATATGATGCACAAATGATGAAAGTGCAATGATATATATGGTTTGGGGATTCAGGGTCAAAATTAGGGTGTAACAGTAGGTGCTTTATCTCATCCTTAATATATCAACATCATTGATATTTCTTATGCTCAAGACTATCTTTGAATCCTTGTGTTCAAATTTGAAGGGAATCAGATAGAAGCTTATCAAATTACACTTCATTTAATCTTTCCAAGCAAATCCTGAGAAGTTCATTTAATCTTTCCAAGCAAATCCTGAGAAGTCTGCTTGCTAGTGTCAAACCAAAAAGTCACATCTATTCAAGAAGTCAAAACATTTAGTAGATTGAGTCTTGAAGGTTTAATTACCAGTCTTCAAAGTAAAGAAATGGAATTAGATGAAGAAAAGTTGTCAAAGAGATCACCCTTTCCTCAAGCTTGTTAAAGAAAATTCCTATGGAATGTTTGATAATGAGGAATTGGTCTTCCTTATCAAAAGATTTTATCAACTGGCTAAATGGAGTGTGATATCTATTGATGGAAGAGTAACTTCAGAAGCTTATGAAATATTCATATTTCAACTGATTATCCCAATCGTAAGATCAAAGATAAAAACTACCAGACAAAAAAACTCAAAAGGAGAAACGTCATAGATCTTCAAAGCATATTCTAATGAAGCTAACATAGTTGAGGATTTAGAATCCGATGAAAGAATAATCTGGCATTGCCGGTCATTACTTCTTCTAAAGAACCAATCTGAATCCAGGAATAAATCAATTATTGAAGAGAAAAAAAAGGCATTGATTAATCCATGTTGCTTTAATATTGATAATAAGGAGTCTGCATCTCAAGATAATATCTTACGTGACTCCATTGCTCCTATGAAAATTGAAGGCTATCATAGAATTTATGTCAAAGGATAATTCTGTGAGAAACCTTTCATTTCTTCTTCTATTTTCTAGCAATACTAAGACAATGTTGAAAACTTATCTCATGCCAACCTCTGATAGCAAACACTATCTGATTCTATGCTAGTCAGAAATTTCAAAATCAAAGATTATGAAGTCAATAGATTTAATCTAAGACAATGAAATCAAATACTCTTCTAAGAACAAGATTTTGTTAAGTGCCATAATTCATCCTAGACTCTGTTCTGGAATGAATATTGGTACTTCTATCAGACTAAGGCATGATGTAAGAGAAATTCTGTCAGAACTAACATTTGTGGACCCACACAAATACGGGTACCGACATTCAAAATTATATTTGCTGCAGATATCACAGAAGAAAGGAGCAAGACATCTTCCATGATACTTGATCAAATGTTGTTTATAATATTTGATGGAAGAAATGCCTACACACCGAACTCAAGAGCTGAAGGATGCAAGAGTATGGAGTTTGGAGAAGAAAGTGGAATCATTGGTTTGACTGACATTGACTCAGAATTCACTCAAGACATAATTCATATTCCATGGACAAATCTGAATACTCATTTGAAGCCTGGCCAAGAAAAAAAAGAGGTACGTTATGTTCCTTCACTTCTGCAAACTTCTTGACTCAATGAACTATTTAAGTATGAGTGAATACAAAGTCTATGTTAAATTTTTAGAGAAGTTATGTTTGTTAATAACAAAAAGATATTTAGAAATCTTTGAAAATAAACTATGTTGTATCTAACTATACTGAACGTGTCATTAACTAGAAGATGATCATTTTTATGGAAACAATATTCTCACCGTTTGTGATAATACTAGTGAAGTTAGTGGTCAAGAAAACCAATTCAATATTCATAAATCAAGCATGACTCTAGTTTCAAGATAAAATGTTTGACTCTGAATAGAATATCAAATACTGAAAATTAAACCGAAGATGTCTCATCGATGTCTATTCCTACTAGACTCTAATGACAGATAGCTTCTGAAAAATAATCAGTCTTTGAGATTCAGAAAATGAATCTTTACTTCTGGTGAAGCAGTTTAAGTAAGACTTATTTTAAAATTCCTGTCTTACTTAAAATCTCATAAAGTTGAAAATCATTTAGTGTATTCAAGAAGTCTTCTAGGTAAGGACCCTTGGATCTTTGTGAAACATCATTTCATGTCCCTTTTTTGTCCCTCTAACAATATTTTATAAGAATATTTTACTCAAATAATCCAATTTTTCAAATATATATCCAAAATAATCCACCTATTAAATAAATTCTCAATCTACCCCACTTTCAAACAAACAAATTTGAAACGTAGTGTTGGCGCTAGGTGAATTGATGATTGCACTTAATTTTACAATGGTGGCGTTAATTGGATTGACTCCTCCATAGGGTGTTGTTAGCCTAATTAGCACCCGCGTGCAAACTTCAAATGGTGGCGCCAATTCAATTGTTGTTAGTGTGTATTGTAATTTTTTATAAAAAATAAATTATATAAAAAGATAAATAATAAATATTAATATTAAATTTAAATTACTTTTACATACAAAAATAAAATTAACACTAACGAGAACGACCGAGTTGGTCATACTAGACACCTGCTCCACATCCCATAGCTAACCTATCTCGTTGTTGATACACCCTAGGTGTTTGAGAATTTGAGCTCAAATCCTCAAACAGTTGTGGTGCATCAACAATGAGCGCAACAAGTTAGGGTAATTAGGGAGTATAGAACCGATGGCCGGTATGACCAACTCGGTCGTCCTAGTTAGTGTTAATTTTGTTTTTTTTATGGATAAGTAATTCAAATAAAATATTAATATTTATTATTTAATTTTATTTGTTATAATTTATTATTTAAAAAAAATACAATACACACTAGCACCAATTGAATTGATGCCACCATTTGAATTGACGCCACTATTTAAAGTTCGCACGCTGACGCCAATTGGGTTAACAACACCATATATAAACACTAATCTAAGAAATTGAATTTTCTGCAGTCATTAACTGACTGTGACTGCATGCACATATCTGCCATTCATTTTGGTTATCAATTAACAATGTCTTTTATTTAATTGTTGATTTTTAAAACTGAACTATCAAAATTCAATTCAAAAGACTCTAACAAAGTGAATATGTGATTGCAGGATTGAGATTTTAGATCCCTAGTCTAATTGGTGACACTATCAAAATTCAATTCGAAAGACTCTAACAAAGTGAGTATGTGATTGCAGGATTGAGATTTTAGATCCCTAGTCTAATTGGTGACACCATTATAAAATTAAATGTAGTCGTTAATTTGTTTGGCGCTACCATTGCGTTTCAAATTTTTTTATTTAGAAGTGAGGGAGATTGAAAATTTATTTAAAATGTGGATTATTTTAAAATATTTTAGAAAAACGGTAAAAAAAATAAAAATTATGACTCAAATTTTAAAAAAGTCAGAATATATGTGACAGGGATACTTTGCTTTAGCTCACACCTCTCTGTCAATTAATAATCACCGAGAAACACAAAATGAAAATGATAGAAACCATGGTGGGATAATGAATCACACCAAATCTCTTAATTATAAGAAAAACATCGATCAAGCATTCTTAATTTTGAATTCTAAAGCTGAAGAAGCAGATGAGTTGAACACGAACTTGAAGCAGGGAATCCATACGGAAGTTGTGTTCTGATACATCCTATATGCCTCTGCTCTTTTCTCTTGCTTCAACATTCTTTGTTCCACAAGTTTTGTCACATAACCCAAACACATTGTGTTACCCAATGCTCCTATGAATGTCCATCCATGTCCCAAATTCCAAGCGAATACAACCAGTCCCCACCACCAGAGCTGCTCGCCAAAGTAATTTGGATGCCGAGAATAGTACCATAATCCACTCTCAAGGACCATACCCTTGTATCTACTCATGACAAAGTTGTGTAACTGAGTATCTGCAAAGTATGCTATGAGGATGCCAGAAACACACACGAGTGTGGCTACCGAGTCCCATATGTTGAGAGGCTGATTCACTGAGTGGATGACATACATGGGAAGTGATAATCCAATCAACAAAAACTGGTGAGGGAGGTAGATGGAGAAGAAGGAAGCCCACCACCATTGGTTTCCATATTGTTGGGACATATCAGTGAAACGCCAATCCTGTCTGGCACCCCATTGCCACTTTTCTCGTCTGAAGTAGCTATGAAAGAGCCTTATGCTCCACACCCAAGTCAAGAAGATGACAATATTTGACCTCCAGGAATTATAGTTAGAGAAAGGGTGGGAGGAATAGTAATGGACAAGCATGACAGGTATGACTGTCCAGTAAGGGTCGATCATCCAGTGGCTGGATTGGATTTGGGCAATGAGCCAAAAGAGGAGATTAACATTGAAGAAGAAAAGGAGATTAACTAATAGAAGAGGGTGCCATGTTGAGATAATAATAAGAGAGGGGTGAGTGGAATAATTGATGAATGTAAGGTAGAAGAGGATGGAGGGAAGAGGAACCAAGAATGCTATCATGGCATTCTTCATATTGCTACACCCCATGCTCTTTGATCGATCATATGATTTCAGTATGCATGCCTTGTGGCTTCCGCTTTAGAGTATATATAGCTAGCCAGCTAGTTCACTTTCTTCTTAACTGTTCATAGCCACGCCCACGCCCCCAAGTGCAATGATTTGGATGAAATGTACTTTACTTATTTATATATCCTAAAGTCAAAAGGAAGCAGAGCTTTTTTTGGAGTTGAAAACAGCTGCAATATCATCCTCAAATATGATAGCATGACAGCTTAATAATCATAGGAATTTAATCTGAAACAGGATCGTTCCCACATCCCTTTCTGCTTTGCTTGCTTCAATCATCCCGCAGTCTACGCAGAGAAAAAGAGAGTACGATTTATCACACTTGGAGGCACCATCATTGTTGTCATCATCGTCGATGTCTGCTGCTGCTGCTGTATACAACAATGCTTTGTTCCACTCACCATGCGCGGAGTCGCTCATGCTATATTCAATTTAATTTATGCATTTCACAAATATTTTGACTGCTTTCTTCTAAGGAGTAATGGGCCTTTTGTTTTAACTTTAAATTTTGAAATTTTTTCTTTCTATTTTTTAAAATGGATTTTATTAAACTATTTTTTTAAATATTACAGATTTTTTATATTAGTTTTCTCTAAATTGAAAGATTAATTTAGATATTCTATAACATAAGTATATATTATTGAAAATTAAAATATAATTGAATTCATAATATTTTTAAAATGTTGTGTCGAAAATGATTTTTATGAAAAATAGTTATTTAAAATAATTTTAAAAAGAAATAATTTTTTAAAATTTTGATATATAAAATAATGAAATACAAAAAACAGCATTGCTAGCTTAACACCAATTTATTACACCGTATGCTAATTACACCGTATGTATCCAAGTGTTTTAGTATTGCACAGTTATCAAAGTAAAACAAAAATTATTAAAATAATAATAAGTATGTATTTAATATATAATATACGGTGTGGATGTAAAATGTAGTGTCATGGAAGCATTTCTCTACAAAAAATAATATCTTAAAAATAACTATTCAAATTAAATTTTTATTTAAAATCTATATAAAAAAAGTTGTACATTATTTTTACATAAAATTATGTAATATTATAAAAATCATTCTAAAAAAACAAAACAAATTGACCCAATACCTTACCACGAAATACCAAGAATCTAAAGAAAAAATATGCTGGAGCTATTTTAGTGAGAATATATTCTTAAGAATGTTAATGCACCTTTAATTCTTAGGAATCGACTCATCATGTTAATGCACCTTTATGTCCCCTCAAGATGATGGAAGAGGGATCAACTTAACTGATTATTAATTTTGAAAGTGTACTAAATCTTGTCAAAGAAATAAAAATAAATTTGTAATTACATGAATTGTTTTATTTTAACAAAACAATTGATGTGCTATGTTAATAAAATAGGGGGATTAATGTAAAATAGTTTAAATAAGAGAACAAATTTATCAAATTAAAGGCGATTAGCCTTTGTTTTGAATCTCGGGAATGTTATTGTTGGAATTGACATTTATTCATTTTAAATTGATTTATCAAAAATTATAATAGTTTAACTGAGTATTTATACCTAGTTATTTGGTGTATAATTCAATATTCTATATTACAACTAAAGTTGTTAAAATTGTGATATAAAATCTAAACTTTTAGATTTTACGTTTTCATATCGGCATTTAGTGCTAAATTGCAGGTTCAATCGTTTTTAAGTAAAATCGTATACTGGAATGATTTTACACGATTTAAATCTCTCAAAAATCTGTAAAATTTTTGGATTTTACTCTTTGACTTGATTTTACTTTTTTTTCTTGAAATTTTAAAAAACTCAGTCCAGTAAAATTTCTCCCACTTTATTATTTTATTCACTTTAAATAACTTCTTTTTTCATTAGACATTAGGCTTTTCATTTACCATAGCAATGAAAATTAAAAATTTTTTAACCCTAACGTCACTTCACTTGTACGACGCCGGACCGAAATTTCAACGACAATATTTTATGAGTTTTATTCTTTGATTGGTAAGTATATAAAAAGCGAGTCTTTTTCACAAATAAAAAATAGAGAAATGCTATTTACTATGTTATTGTGTGGTGGTATGTAACATTGGTTTGTTACTATGTTTGTTAAAGTGTTTTTAATTTTGCTATTATGTATCTTTAAATGGTACCATGGTTTGTAATTTAAGTGATTGGTACCGTGTTTTGTTATTTTTATTATTTTAATATACAAACTTAATAGAAGTTGATTTGATTTATTGTTATAACTTTTTTTACAAATTTGCTTTAGTGTCTTTTAGTTAAAATTTGTTATTTAAATTTAATTATTTTTATTATTTAAATTTAAATTTAATGTTATTTTAACATAACATAAACTCTGATTTTACATTTCAATTTTACTTAATCAAAATAAGTCAAAGTAAAAACTCGATTCTGACAACCTTGATTACAACTCTTTAATCCTTAGGTCAATTCACATTTAAAATTGATAATTAGAAGGTTAAACTTTTAAGTCACAACTTATAATTTTTTATTTTCAATTAAGTACTAAATTTAAGCATTAATTTAGATATAAAAAAATACAGAGATAGGGTCAGTATTCTCTAAATTCTAGGGTTTATATATGAGCTCGTTAACACATTCAAAGCAATGAACACAAATTTTAATTTAATAACAAATACTGATTAATCAAAGTGTGCAAATAATACACAATTTAGTATATGTTCCAACAACTTCATCTAACAAACCATAATCAAAGGAAATTAGCTACACATCATAGAGTTAATCATACATATGAGTTTATAGTAATAATACATAAAACTTAATGTAGAATTGTGTCTTCAATCAAGGAAAACCTTCATTCCTAAGCTTATTGCACTTTCTTACTGTCAAAATTCAATTTTTTGCAAAAGGTTTATAAAAAAAAGGTTTTCGTCTTTAAATGCTTTGACAAATGCAAATGTTGTTGCCAAAACACGTCTATAGCTTTCCAAACACGTTTTAAACTCCCCTTATAACATATGCTTATGGGACACGTTTGACCATAGAGGTTTTCAAGTGAAAACCTACTAGACGCATCTGGGAGTATTTGGATGCAACTGAGGGCCATACTGCTCATATAATATTAGAAACCTCATGAAACTGATGAAACTCATAAAGCTAGTTATAGTTCATGATCAAAACACTAAATAATTATTAAGTTGGATGAAAATTGTACTATCCAAAACGTACATGGTGTGCATGTTACCCCTGCAAGGGCAGGGAGACTTAGAGGCCCTAGTAAGTATATTATAGTTTTAAGGGTGAGGGCTAGCTCATGGCGAAGAGTAGCTTTGTATAATGATTTTGCGCCTGTTTCAGAATCCAACTCGTGTGAGGTTAGAGATACTATTGGTGGCCGGCGTTGTTGGGTTACAAGTGGGCAGTTGGATTGACGGTGTTAGTGATACTAGGAGCGTAGTGCCCCTGAGTAGTAGCAAATGTATATGACCTAAGAATTCCACCTTCCCCCCTTTGGGGGAGAAGTATTGCTAAAGACTCTCTTGGGCCTAGGATTATGGAGTTAATGATAAGTTATGTTATAGCTCCATAACTAGAAATGTGGTCAAGGGAAAACTTGTTCTTCCTAGAATCATGGGAGAAATGGTTCTTGTTTGATGACTCTTTGGACTAGGTATCTTAACCTAATTCCAGTATGGGCTTCTTCCCTCGTTGGACTAGTAGGTTTAGCCTAGTGGATGACTAGGTCTAACTTAGTAGGCGAATACGTCTAACCTATAGGGCGACCTGGTCTAGCCCATTGGACGACTAGGTATAGCCCAATGGGCCCGTCCTCTTCTTTGGGTCTTAGCCTTTTTTGGGTACTCCTTATTAGAGCCTTACAAAATATACCATTACATAGTCCCTCGATCATGATGCCTTAAAAAGGCCAAAGTGGATTGTTAAAAGTGCTCATATTCTTAAGTCTTCCTTGTACGTATCTATCCCAGGTTGGCTTTTTCTTAATGAGGGCTTGCGGTGTGTCCCTCAAGCGAGACTTTATGTAGAGTCCCTCATACAAGAATTTATGTTGAGTCTCTTGGGTGAGACTTTATGTCAAGTCTCTTAGGCGAGACTTTATGTTAAGTCCCTCATATGATACTTTATGTTGAGTCTCTTAGGAGAGTTTTTATGTTGAGTCCCTTAGGTGAGATTTTATGTCGAGTCTCTCATACCAGACTTCATGATGAGTCTCTTAGGAGATAATTTATATACTACACTCGAATGATGATACTTGAAGCCTCTTAGGTGAGGATTTAACCTCTTGGGTGAGGAGTTAACCTCTTGGGCGGTATTTCTATCGAGTCCTTACTCAAAACCTGTGACCAAGTCTCTGGGGTTGGATATTGGTCGCGCCTCTTAGGAGAGATTCTTGAGTTTTGTCCCACCTGAGAAAATAGAAATTTTGCAGGATGTAAACTGCACAAAGTAAAGAGTTGAGGAAAAAAAGAGAGCATCAAAATTATAGAGGGTCAGTCAAACCAGGAAAAATACCTACTACTCTCCCTAAGAATTGATCTTGAGAATATCCAATAAAGTTGAGAGTTTTTAGTAGGCTATACTCATCAACCCTCATAATACAAGGAAAATGAAGTTTAATTTAAATTCCAACCAAATAATAAATAGCGGAGTGAAGCAGCGAGTCTTCCTTTCAAATGGTAGATTGAAGCGACTAGTTTCCTTTCCACGAGAATATTGGAATGGTTAGTCTTCAAGCATCTAAACAAACTTTGTGAGCTTTTAACACCAATCTGAGCTCACGAACCTTAAACCTTGGTTTTACCATGGGCTTACCAATAACCTAGAAGATTTTAATATCGGGATAATATTGATCTTATCAAGCTTTTAATACCAGGATAAACTTTAACCTTCACTTGGTTTTTCCATGGGCTAACCAAGAACCTATGAAAGCTTTTATATGGGCTGAGCTTTCGAACATAAACAAGGGT